AGGTATTCATGAAAAAAAAATGATATCGTGATTTGATTTCTATGAGAGATTGTAAATAAAAAGCGAATGTTTCCTATAATCTTTCATTGATTTCACAATAGCAATGCAAATTACACTTTCAATACTTTTCAATAGATATGTCTAACAATAATTTAAAGGGATCGATTTCTGCATGCACAAAAATATGCCGAAAATAAAAACAGATGGATATTTGGTTTTCCCCTTCTATCTTGTTGCTAAAAATAGTTGTCAAATAAAAATCTTATACAGATAGGTATATCAGAATAGAATATACATGTATATTTAACATTAAATCCCTTTGTTTTGCTTCTGAAAATATTTGTCTTCGGCTACCATTTCTTTAAAAGTAATTCAATGCCCTGTTCACACGGAGAGTTTAATTGAACGTAAGTTACTGCGAATTAAATTTGAACTGCGTTTACACGGAGAATTTTATGCGAATTAGTTTAATTCGAATTAATTTAATGCACATAAAATTACTTCGCATTAGCTCGGTGTGAAGCTAATTCGAATTAAAGTTTATAACATGCGTAAAGGCAGAATTAAGTCAAAGACCCCATGTTGATGGTCAGATATAGTAAATTCTGCTTTTTTTGAATGGAAAACAAAAGAAAATTATGTTAATAAATAAAATGTGTAGAGTATGTTAATAAATAAAATGTGTAGAGTATGTTAATAAATAAAATGTGTAGAGACGCTATATGCCGTTATGTCAAATGTATCTGCTCTGCACAAAGTGACGTGATCTGAAAATAACGTCATAATAGGCTTACTAGAAAACAGACTGCCTATTGGCAATTTCACCCATACTGATCAATTATCTATACAATTATTCAGCGATGAAAAATTTCATTTGAAAAGATGTATTTATTGGAAACATTATGTTAATGATTGAAATTATCAATAGGAAACTTAAAATATTTTTAGAAGTAAATATGGCCATTTTACCATTCCTGTAATAGTTCGCTAAATCGAAAGATAAATTAATCCTTTGTGTATGTTAAAGAAATATTTGAGGTTTTCTTCTTCTTTTAAATTTATTTTTTATTTATCCATTTATTTATCAATTTATTCATATATTCATTCATTTAATTTTCTAGTTTGTATAATTTTGTTGTTTTGTTTGTTTGTTTTCGTTTGTTTCATGTGCTGTTTTGCTAGGTTTCTTCGGACCATAGAACTAAATGAAAAAGGAAAAAATAAATTAATATATATCTATATTGCCACTAAACAATTAGCATCCACAGCAAGCACTACCACCATGCGATAATCATACTTAACATTCAAACAACGCTGTTTTACATACACAGGTAAAATTGTAACGACATATATTACTGGAGGTATTCTTACACAAACACAAGCCACTTGATACCAATTTAAATTCCCGTACGGCCCTCCACTACAACTATTTCTCTTTGGTATCAAGAAAATGTTTAAAAGGTTTTTAAGCTGATTACATATTTCTGGATCCACCAGAATAATTTGTCAGATTGAAAATAAGAATGATGCTATCATCTTATTAGTCCCTTACCGTTGAAACCGGAGAGGACTATAGGTTTCCTCTGAGTCTGTCCGTCCGTCTGTCTATCCGTCCATCTAGTTGTCCCTCTTTCTGTCTGTCAGTCTGTCCCACTTGGTTTTTCGCACTTTTTTCTAAACGCTTGCAGATATTGAGCTGATTTTAGGTATGTGAGTGTATCTTGAAGAGTTACAGATCAAGTTTGCATTTCGTTTCGCTTCAATGATTTTTGACGGAATTACGACCTTTTCAATTCTTCAGAGTTTTCCGCAATTTTTTTCTAAAAGCTTGCAGATATTGAGCTGATTTTTGGTATGTGACTTTACCTTGATGAGTTATAGATCAAGTTTGCATTTCGTTCCACTTCATTGATTTTTGACGGAATTATGGCATTTTCAATTTTTAACGGGAACCATATTACACTTGCCGGTAAGGGACTATTATTGCTAATGCAATACTCTCAGAATGCTTGTTTGTTTTATAACCCATGATGTCTGATGCAAAACATTGCTCGGATTTAAAGTTCACCTCTTTTGAAGTAGGATGCATAGTGAAACACCTATATTTGTGGTGTTTAGATTCAAATCAGTACAATTTATTTATACCTCTTTAATAATTATATAATAACATTAAATTTTCGTACTACAATGCAACCAAAGGTAAGATGATATTTTAGCAACCTACACATTTGCTACTGACCTTAACCTTTTACAAATCATTGATATCAACTCCTTCCCATATGATCAATATAATGATAAGTTAACAAAAGACAGGAAAATTCCACATTAGTTTTGATTTTAGTCCATAATATTATGTTAAAATAAATAAATACGTTCATTTATCAAAAATCAAATTATATGCAACTTTTGTAACACTTCAAAAGTAAAATTAAACACTTGTACAAAATATTTCCATTATATCCCTCTGTTCATCCAAATCATTGATTGAACAAATGGATGAAAGAAGCGTGTCAACATGACTTTATATGCAACGTCAAGTAAATAACTTCTTATTTCATTTCCTGAAAAGTAAGGGTTTTGAAATTGCTACTTACGCAATAAACATTTCTTTTCTTGGCAATTTTCAAACATACTGGACTGGATTTTGTTTGTTTGTTTTGTTTATTGTTTAACGTCCCTCTCGAGAATTTTTCACTCATATGGAGACGCCACGACTTGCCGGTGGGAGCTGCAAAATGTTGACCTATACTCGGCACTTAGGGCCATTGGGCAGTGAGGGGTCTTTTTCGTGCCAGCACCTACTGCGATACGGGACCTCGGTATATACGGTCTTTAAGTTTAGGACTTAGGTCCCATTTTTCATCTATGGCACTTTGTGTTCTGTATTGCAATTTGGCCTCGCTAATGAGCAGATATCCTGGCTTCTAGACAAGGTGTGCCTTCAGTGACACACCTCGTACAAACTTTTATAATGTTGTTGTACATGAAAAAAATTGGTTTAATGTTCAGAATTGATCATTAGTCCAAAATATAAAAAATTCACAAATTGCTCATTTCAACTATGTTCTATGTTTCCTCCTAGATGCCCAGGAGCAGAGAAGTACAATTGCGAAGAAATATTTTCACTATATAAACAATAGAGCCCCATCCTAACACCAGAGTCCCTGATCTAGGAGCCATAATTTTTACAATGTTAGAAGAGACGTCCTTGCTCATTATAACCATGCAATTAGTTTGTCTGATAAATACCCAAATTCAGAGAATTTTTAAAAAAGAATTTATACATTTTCAATATATCATAAAAAGAGCCTGGGCTGCCCTAACACACTAATGCCTGACCTAGATGCCATGAATTATGCACTTAATTTATCTGTTATATACACAGGGGTATAAAAAATTTGTACGAATTCACAAAAAATTGCTAAAAGAACCTCTGACCCAGGGGCCAGCGCCACAAAAATTCCATCGGCATAAAGCAAGTTTTACTTGCCTAGATGGCTGAGCGGTCTAGCGCACGGTTCCTGTCCTGCTAGGAGACAAATTCCGTAGGTCGAGAGTTCAACCCCGGTTTGGGGCGGAAGTGGGTATATATCATTATAAAAGTGAATTTTTTGTGCTTGAGAGAGAGAGAGAGAGAGAGAGAGATATATAAGTGTAAATTGATTAGTGCACTATTCATTTTATAATAACAGTTCTTTTTGATACAGTTCGATATATATTCTTGTTTTCTTCGATATCTAATTTGATATAGTTCGAGATATATATATATATATATATATATATATATATATATATATATATATATATATATATATATATATATATATATATATATATATAAATGATGCGAACCTGAGACACAGGAGTTGTTCATTCATAAGAATTAAAAACCCTGTCACAATTATTTGAAATGTGAGACTACAAACATACAGTCACGGAGCAAAAATTTAGTAATTCAATTATAATACACTATAAAATATATATGAACATAACTATTTAAAATGGCGTTAAAACAGTAAAAAATAACTTTCCGATTTAGTATGGTTTACGTAATTTCGTAGACGAAAATTATAATGATCAAAAACCGATATAAAGAATTATGTATCTTTATGTAGTCTACTTTTTACAAGTTTATTGAAACTAGACCAAAACTGAAATTGGACCAAAAAAAGTAGGAAGAGTAGCGTTTTAAAAGAATTTGAAAGAAATTTCTATTTTTAGAAACCATGGCAACATCGTTTTTTAAATCAAAAACGATACACTGAATTATGTTTCTTAATGTAGTCTTCTTTCATACAAAGTCTTATTGAAATTTGACCAAAACTGTAGGAGGAGTAGCGTTTTGAAAAATTGTTCAAAGATGGACAGAGAGCAGACTAAACAGCCAGACGGACGACGGACACCTTACCAATGCATAAGCTCTTCTAGTCTCTGAGCAGTAGAGGAAAAAATGAGGAAATTGACAAATTATCTTGATACTCCAAGGATGGTTAGCAAAATAATTAAGCGTAATGTGGTATAGAAACTTTTTTGATAAATGGGTAAGGAGCCCCAGTCTCTGTGTAAAATGAAGAGGTGGTGCATTTTTGAAGGAGCTATCATGACGACCGGGCTTTGATTTAGCGACATAAAAAGATATGATATATCATCATACTGTACAAGACAATGGATAAAATACTTTTATTAGCAATAAACAAAAAAATATACAACTTTTCTTAATGTACTGTTGCATTAATTATGAGCAATCAACAGGACGATACAGAAAATTTATTATAATATTCCTTTGTACAGAAAGAAGGGTGGATTTTTTCAAATAGCTGTTGAGTGTATGTCATCATTACTTCATGTATATGCATGCTACATCAAATAAACAGTTCTTCATTTCATTTCATAAAAAGTAATGGTTTTATAATTACTACATACACAACAAATTTTTCTTTCCTGGTCAATTTTCATGAAAAGTGGACTATGAATATCTTGAAACACCCTTATCAGCTCACCAACACTTGATACAACATGAATATTATGACTATGCATGCCAGCAACATATATATTTTCCAGTGAGTCACTATCAAGTCCATATGGACATTTTAGCTCGGGGTTCATATAATTCCACACACTGTCCAATTGCTCATCTATGGCACATACTTTGTCAATCTTGTAGTCTGTGTACACGATAAGTCCCGACTTTGTAGTATGAATATTAAAAGCACTAGAGCCTGGCACATTGAAATACTTTATTCTATTACCAATATTGTCAGTTTTAACAATAATGCTGCCAGAGGCCAAGTAAAAATCTTCCTTCCAACAGGATATCCCATAACTTTCAAAATCAAGGTTTATACTTTTCAATTTCTTGAAATCAGACATAGAGAACACTTCAATGGATTTTGAACTAATACATGTTACAAACAATTCCTTTCTTTTTGTAATATGCCAAAAGGATATTGTGGCAATCCAATGGTTCCATTGTATTTCCATTCCTTTTGACAAAGCTCCCCATAACAAACAATATTTTTATTTTTGTCAGAAAAAATAAATGTTTTGTTTGATAGCCATGTTCCAGTGCGTACTTTTCTTTCACTGCTACTAAATTCAGTGATCAATTCCAGCTGCACATTTTTTACATCAAAGATAACACTTGGAATATCTTGAACTAATTCAGTTACCTCAATGCTTGCCAATTTCTTCATCTGTGCTATCTCTTTAACAATAGATTTTTTAATTGCTGTTACTCGTACTCCTGTAGTTCGAAATCTTATATTTTTTAGGTGCTGAAATGTCTCTTTTGCTGCATTAAATTTTGTCATGAAGATTGACTCATCTTTAATTTCTATGCTTTTTTCGAGCTTGTTGGAACAAAACTCAGCACATTGGATCCCATCATTGAAAGTAATCACATTTCTGATAAGCTTTTCTTTGCCTTCCTTGATAGCAGCAGAAAACTCATCTAATTGTTCTCTTTTTAATCTTTCGATGAGGCGAACAATATCATTTATTTCTTTTTCAGTCTCGTCTGACATTTTGTCAAAGGTGTCTTCTAGCTCTGTAATATTCCTCTCTTGTTTGTCTTTTGCATCTATCAATTTTTGCCTAAAACTTTTCACGTCTGCTAATATGCTATCAATTTCACCACTCTCTTTGTAATTTTGAGCTGCTTTTTCGACAGTTTCTACAGAATCACATTTTCTATGCTCTGTTCCACCACAGATTATGCAACATGTTTGTTCATGTTTGTAACAAAATAGTTTCAACTTTTGATCTTGATGCTTTTTACAAACGTCATCTTTTCCAAAGGCCAACTGTATGTGTTGCGATTTGATCTTGTTCAAAGGACAGGTATTGTGGCTTCTTGACAACAAATGTTTTTTATGATACTTGGTACACATTTTGCATAAAAACTCTAAACAAGATAAACAAAAGTCAGATGCGTCTTCCTCTTCGTTATCTCTCAAACAAGAATCACAACATTTTGGGTCTGGGCTTTTAAGAATTTTCTCGAGTATTTCGTTCACAGGGAAAGTCCCTGCCCATTCTTCTGGTTTATCAAAGGAACCCATAATTGGAATGTATTCTCGGCATAATGGACAGTTAAAACCCAAGCGTGGTTCCGTAGACTTACACACACTAATAATATGTGACGATAAACAGTCGTGACAAAAGGAATGAGAACACGGTAGATATCGCGGTGTTTTAAATTTCTCGAAGCAAATAGAACATATTGTGACGTCCTCAAATGACAAGCTGTCAGTCAAAGCGGTGGCCATTCTCTTTAACTTTGGAGATGTAACGGTGTCCTATATAGAAGGGAAGGTCTACAGTGTATCTCTAAGGACGAGATGTGTATCATTTTCTTGGTAATGATTAGGTTTTACTTTCAATTTTACTAATATTGTATATTGTACTTCGATCCCGTTGTAAATTATCCATCTGCTGCGTGTAGCTATTCCACCTAAAAATAAGAAATGATTTTTTTTAATTCTAAATTATTATAATATTGTTTGTATGTGTGTAAGATACTTATAAATAAAGAGAGTTTCATTGGTTGCTTGCAAATTAATATGCAAATTAAATTTATATATGAATAGAATCACACTATTAATGTTACCAAAGGGGAATAACTCCAATAAATTTAATCAGCAACTCTGTATGACATACCTTATAGTCTGCTTCAAAATGTGGTATAACTGTGATCCAATTTTGCTGCTGTCTAAAACATAAATAGGCATTTTAATATGTAAACATAAAAGCATTAATTTTTGTCAATCATCTCAATGTTTATTTAAAATTAAATTAAAATGTATTTGAAACTTACCTTTGAAAAATAAATTTCCTTCCTTGATGTCTGTTTTAATTTCTCTTTCTGTTAACTCAAATATGCTACTCTCAGTCTTCTCACTATCATTCCAGTACATAACCTAAATTCAATAAATATATAGATATTAGCATATATATTTGTACTAACTTGAATGAAATTATAGTCACTGATGCAATTATAATGGTAATATGTGAAACTCATTTATGTCTTATTCTGAAACCATAAATATTCAGAGCAAGAGGTACCGGGGTATGTAACTTGAAGTTTTCCTTCAATCATTATATGAAAACATTGTAAATTATTCATTACATCAAACTGAAAAGTTTTCATAGATTGAAATAAAATTTTTAAAAAATACACATGAAATGAACTGTATATAAATCATTATAATTCTGGTACGTTCAAAGTGTTACATACCTCTCTTATAATTTAAAGGCTATATTTTATGTAAAATTGCAACATTTATTTCAAATGTTGCAAAATTATTTTGTGAATTTTAAATAAAATGATATTAATTATGTAACTCTTTTTTAATTGACTTTACTTTAAACACTCCATTACTGTAGCTTAAAATCTGCCCCTCCCATTCTACATCCTCTCCATTATCAGTCCATGTGTGATATATATCTCTTAAGACAAAGTCTTCAGGATTGGTGGTACATGTATTGCTTTCTTGTTGGTTTTTCCTTTCTTTTAATAGTGTTATTAAATTTTTTTTCATCAAACACTTTTCCTTTTTTACTAAAACACAATAAATGTTTCAACTCTTTCTCCACTCTAAAAACCTTTATATATATATATTAATCTGTGTCTTCAAGGCTGTCATTTTCTCTTTCTTTGTTTTTAGTTGACTTAATCTATGACTTATCTCCTCCTCCGATTGCCACAATCCATGAATATTAATATCCTCTAATGCCTTGTCAATTGCTTCAGTCTGTCGTTCCTTCTTCTTCTTTGTCTCTTCCTCCTTTTCTCTTATAATTTGTAAATGTTTCTGTAATAAATTTTCTAATAAAAATGTTCTACTATCTTTTCTTGCATTAATAATAATTTTTCTCTTATCATCCTCACTTTTCTTTGCCAACCAATTTATAGTATCGTTATTGTTAAACATTAAAACACTCTCAATAGTATTTACAGATGATGTGGCAGATATTTTACTTTAAAATCTAACTGACCCATTAGTCTTTCAATACTGATATTATTTGTAGAACAGGATGAACATTCTTTAAAAAAATTCTTTGAACATGCATTAAAATATTTTCCTCCATCTAAAAAATCTGCAAACAACTTCTTTGCCTTGGCTATTAAAACAGTAGTACATCGCTTAATAAAAACACAGGTAAGATCATCATTTACTGACACAGAGTATAAAAAATCAGACACAGGATCATAAAAATCTGGACCTTCAAATAGTTTAATTTCCCGCTTCAACAATACAGAATGGTTTTCATTAATAACATTTAAAACATATAAAAATCTCTGATAGACAGTGCTCATATTTGCAATACTCGATACTTCCAAAGTCTTTTTCCAGTATGGTTCAGTTAAAAATTTACAAATAATACCAAGAGCTCTTAAAATTGTTAAAAATAATTTGCTCTGCAATGAAGAAACAATAGCATTCATAACAAAATTAAAAGAACTTTTTGAGGATAAAAGATATTGTAATATAAGTTTATGAATAAAAAATGCACCAGCAGCATTATAAAAACACAAATTAAAACGATTTCCTCTTGTGTCCATAAGAGGGACTTTGTCTGTTCCATGACTTCTAACAAATATACGAGTAAAATGTGGATCACCCACTCCATCTTTAAAAAACAATTTTGATACACATCTTAAAATAAACATAACATAAGGATCCTTTGGTGTACTACAATGTCCATCAAAATGAATATTTAATTCTTTTTCAATATCATAAAATTCTTGTAAACAAACATCTGAAAATTGTAAAAGAGGGTGCAGAGAACATTTAAAAGAATGAGCATCATGAGAAATTTCACTTGATAAAATAGAATTAACTTTTTGTTCAGTAGAACTTCTATCTGTCATAAAACAAGATACAGATTCTAAAATACTTTTTTGATCACTTTCTTTACCTGAAATATCATATAACATTTCTTTAGTACTATTAACATAAGTTTCTCCCTTGCCATCAGACACTTCTCTAATACCACCAGTTAAAAATTTATTTCCTGTATTAAATTGTAAGGCATAAAAATGTTTCCCTTTCTTTGTAGTTGCATCTCTATGCATTGTTATATTTTCACTGTTTAAAAGCTCTTCTTTCAGATGATTCCTTGACACGACACCCATTTCACTTGATAAAACTGCAGTTGTACTTTTACTTGGTAAATTTCTTACATTAATGTCAAAAATATTTAAAACAGCTTCAACAACAGGAGAAATATGCTGCACACCAATATTATTACTGATAAAAAAAATAATATAACTTTCTTAACTTAAAATTGTAAGGTCTGCCCTTTGAACTATCTCTAAAATCTACATTTTTTTCAATATGTACAAAGTTTTCTGAATCATTTAAAGTATCATTTTCATATTTTTCAGCATTCAATACATCTATTTCTTTTTTAAGTTCTTCAATATAAGATTTTAAAATGTTACATTGAATACCTTTTTCTACTTTCTTGTATTTTTTTTTTTTCATTTTCTTTCATTTCAAAATAATGAAGCTTTCCCTGCAATTGTCTAACTTTCTCTGACTTTCTCTTAAGTTTCTGGTTGAAATATTTCACATTGATATTTCTTAGTTTTTCTTTCAATTTTAAGTTTTTTCTTTCAAGATGTATAATTCTTATGTCTTTTTCATTTTGCCTAGAAAATTCACTTGCGGACACAGAAGTCAATGTGGACCCAGAGGTCGTTGTGGATGAAGCAGTCGTTGTGGACGCAGAAGCCGTTGTGGACACAGAAGTCAATGTGGATGCAGACGTAAATGTAGACACAGAAGTCGATGTGGACACAGAAGTTGATGTAGACGCAGAAGTTGATGTGCACTCAGAAGTTGATGAAGATAATGTAGGCACAGATGCTGTGGACAGGATGGTACAGGATGTAGGCTGAATGGGTTTTTTATTCAATGGTAATGTGAATATTTTTTTCTGTATATATCATATTTCTCTTTATTGTTGTATTTGTTTAATCTTTGGAGTTCTTTGAAGGTTTTTTGAACTTTCAAGTATAGACCTGTCTTAATTATTGTAGCAGAATCTATCTGAATGCAGTTACAGATGTCTTTGCAAGTTTTGGCAACATTGCCTTCATTTTTAACAAAAATTTCACTAACATTTTCATTTGTTAAGATCATTGTGATTTGAAAGTGGAGTTAATTTGAATTTTACCATATATATGCTGTATGAAGTGAATATAAAGACAATACATTGATAAGCGTTACACATACATTTGCAACAACACAAAATGCATGACGACACAAACACAAAAAAACATAATGACACATACAAACATATACAATTGTGTTAATATTTACCTTGTATGGAAAATTCTTTCAATGTAGATACCACTTCCTTGTGATGTTATGTATGTACCTTAATAAAGTAAATCAAAATAGTTATTTTGAAAATATTACTTACTATTACCATACACCAGAAATAAAAACAGACTATAATGGAAGGGAGGTAATAATTTACTGTGCGAGTATTGCAGTTCACATTTTTTATTATGTACAAAAAAGTGCTAAACGTTTGCAACTTTTACAATATGCTACTTTTGAAATAAAGGTATAATTTATCATTATACAAAAAAAATTCATGCAACTACATAGCACAATGAGGAAAATAGCAAAATACACCCCATTCACGCTTCTTTCAAATTAAAAATTAAGCCTTAAAAATACCTTTATGAACTTAATTGTAAGCAGTTAAACAACTACCTATGCATCTTACGTCGTAATTAACCGAAACATTACTCAAGATCGACATGACAAGGTTGTAAATAGTACTTACAGATATATTTTCACAATCCTGTCTGCACCGCTTATACTCTAATCCAATATGGTCGTCAGGTCACATGTAAGAGTTGTCGTCCTTCCTAAAAAATGGCGTTAACTGGATTAGCTACTGCATGTAGACTATTTAATTTATATCAGGCCCGTAGGAAGCAATTTCAGTTTTGGGGGGTGTACAGCAAAACATTTTCAGTTGGGAGGGGGGACACTTTCAACTACCAAAATTCCTTGAAAAGGAAAAAAAAAGGTCATCAGCCGTTTTTATTGAGGGGGCACAAGCATAAAATAGCTAAGTTTTCTATAGTATTCTATATATTGGCAAAATTATTGGGGGGGGGGCACGGGGGGGGGGGGTCCTACGGCCATGTATATCAAATTTCAGAAGTCATATTTAAATCTGGAAAGTTGAAAATCGTTATTGGTTGCTTTTTTTTCATTTTTGTTTCGTAATAAATACATCTGCTTTGTCCATCCAAACGTTCAACGACATCTTACCGGGTTTCTTTACTTGTTTGATGTCATTTTTCGTGTTCCGATCGTCATGTGTGCCCTTTTTGAAAAAATTATTTTTTTTACATCTAGAAAAAGAAATTATTCAGACATTTAAAAAAAAAACATTTAACTGGTTCCTGTTTTTTCTGTGATTTTGGTTCTGGTCTAGGATTCAGTATAATTATCAAATTACTAATTTGTTATTCCAATTTCCCTGTGTATAAAACATCACATGTCTCTAATCCCGGCAATATAATGCAATGCTGCTGTAACGATGAATTTTGATCCGGTTGAAAAGTAACCCAGGGTCATATTTCAACAACGGTTAAATATTCAGACCTTAAGCCGTTGAAAATTGAGCCGCATCGTAGAATTTTGATTTTTAAATCGAGTCAAATCTCAACAGCATAAAATTTTTATGTAATAATTTTGAACGTCAATTCATTTTTATATTTTTTTTTTATTAAAAACAAATATAAAAATGAATTGACGTTCAAAATTATTATTTATATTTTGAATTTTCAAAAAAAAAATTACACATGTACAGTGCTCGTATATACATTTTGATTGACATTTCTCCAAGTCCGTAAGAAGCATGCAGATGAAGTAAGGGGTGCGGCACCTGATTCCCCTTATATGCTTTATATATATCCTATAAAATAGAAAAACAATGCTAATTTACGGCTGTGTCCCCTTATAAAGAACGTTCTGTGACATTTCTTTGGTTTTTGACTTTTTGCTCGTCAATGAATTTCTGTTTTGTTGCCCTCCCTCCTCCAAAAAAAATGTTGATTTTTCCTATGGAGCTGTTTTGCCCCCCCCCCCAAAGAGAAAGAACACCTAATTTCTTCCTACGGAGCTGTTCACTGAATTTATTTTTATTCTTTAGGTTAACATGCACACTAAAATATATTTGATTCGAACTGGACAATTTGCACCAAACATGTAGCACTCTAAGAAGGAAAGGTCTCGAATTTACTAAAGACCTGTTGCAAAAATACATTATTTCTTTTCTAAACCGTCCAAAGAACCCCTTAGTATGGATCACTTTTGTACTATATGCAGTTCACTATATATACAATGAGCGTTTCGCATATTATCTCCACAGGTAAAACTAGTTTTTGTTATATACCCGTGGAGGGACAAACTACAAAACTAAGCAAACAACGGGAAATAATATTCAGATTATGATTCATGCTCAGTGATAACTACATTGCTTGGAAATTGAGAGTTACCTAACAGCTTTAGGACTGGTATTATGCCTAATTCACCCAACATTTTTTATTTTTTGAATCCTAATTCAGTCCTTTTTATTGATTGAACCATAAATTAATATTACATATATAAACATATTTTGTGATATGTACATGAAAAAAATATATAAAAAGTTATAGGAATTAAAATCAATGTGAAAGTTTATTGAGAGAAAGAAAAGGAAGAGAGAGGTGGTCTCTGACCTTTCAAGATATTGTGTAAAATAATTTACATTGACAAAGCAAAGTTATAAACAAAAAGGAAAAAAGGCAACCATTTTATCCCCTTTTTTTTAATCATATGAAAATCGTTTAAGTTCACTATTGAAAAAGAGAAGTGTCGATTGATTGACTTTATGTTGTTTTATGTCCAGTTTGAGAATTTTTCAATCAGACAGAGATGTCACCATATACCGGTGAAGGGCTTCAAATTTAGACCTTTATTCGCCACTCAGGGCCATTGAGCAGCGAGGGATCTTTATCGTGCCAACGCCTGCCGTGACACGGGGCATCGGTTTTTAAGGTCTCATCCGGAGGACCCGCAACTTTCACTTCGAAGTGCCGAGCGCTTGGCAAAGGAACAGTTGCTACCTATGTTTTATCGACTTAGGTCAGTCGCGGCCGGGGCTCGAACCGACGACCTTCCGATCACGGAACGTGCGCTCTACCGAATGAGCTACCGGGACTGTAAAAAGAGAAAGAAAGAAAAAAGAATGAAAACTAAGAGGGAAAGAGAAAAGAAAACAACCCAATACAGTGCAGTTTTGAGGGATTCACATATTTACATTTTAAATGGATACTAAAGAATTTCAATAGAGAGAAACATGACCGAGCATAAACGATTGTTTTAAATGGAGACAAAGTCCTTGCGTTTGCAGAAAAAAGGGCTCATTCGCCTATTGACCAAGTCCAGGAAATGTGGGAAAAAATCTTCCTAAAACCTTTCCTGTGCACATTAATTTTTTATGCATCATGAAGCCACAAATTATATCTCACTAGCTGTCAATTATCCAATTATCACTTATTATTTTCTAACAGGTTTAATAGACGCAACACATAAGCCATTGCACATACACAAAAAGTACTTAGCTTGACCAGGATTGACACCTATGACCTCAGAACAATTAATGGCGCCTAACATCGGCTACCAAAATATGTTTATTAAGAAATACTGAAACATAAACAAATACTAGTATTAATTTTCCCGCAAAGAATTTTAAATATATTTGATTTGAATAACATGTACAAAAAATTGAGATGTAATAAAAATCCTTCAATTAAGTCCCCATTTCGCAAAATCTACAACCCATGAAATGATCTTGTATATGAATTCAGTCTGTCGTTATGTTAAATGTTGATTGACATCTTCATACAAATTTTAAGGTCATTACAGTAACTGAATTTACTACTGATTTCTCTGTTTACCAAAGGGCAGGCGGTGGATGGCGACAGAGGATGCTTACTTCTCCATGGCATCTGACTCCACTTTTGATGTTTTCAGAAGTCCGTGTTTTTGCTCTGTTCATAATTTGTATTGTTTATTGGACTTTTCAACATGATAATAATTGTTCGTTGTCTTCACATTCCGTGAAAAGATTAAAGTCTCTCGTTTGTTATACAGTTTACGCAGCTAGGTTAAGGACTCCCATATATACGTCAGTCTATGCAGAGGTTCGGGAGAGCTATTATGACGTCAGGTTAAAACAATACAAATGAATCTCGATGAATAAATACTATATGTTCTTTTTAAAACACACTAAATACTTTCGTTTCTCATAAATGTTACAAAGATAAATGGATGTGCAACTTATCTTGGCATAATAGTACTTAGCGTATGCAGAATGAAAGCCAGCTTGATCTCGCTGTACTAACTGAGATGACGTCATTTCTTAGTTTGACACGCAGTTTCTCTGTATTTGAGGCGTGGATCAAGCTTTTATCATAGCTTGTAAAAATAAAAATAAATACGAACCATGCCTAGTCAGACAAAAAGAGAGACATATTCTGAAATATATTAATCCACATTTTATTGTCAAACTAAATTGATAATGTGTAGACTTTATATAGAGCCGTAGGGAGCACATTTGTACAGTAACGTGCTAGAATGAGGGGTCTAGCCCCTCGAAAATATCAAAAGTTCAACGATACCCGCTTCACTATAAATTCTGAATTTTTAAACACGTGTAGCTATTATTCCAACTATTGTGAACAGTGCTGGGAGCTGGTTGTACATTGTTTATTTATTCCGTTATCTAACATTATTCCAATGCGTTTTACATTTTTGTCTGGAGTTTATAGAAAGATGGCTAAATTTTAAACAATTCACGAGCATGAGGAAGTTGCTCCCAGCACTTTTCGGGTTAAGGAATTTGTCTCAAAGAAAACAAAATAAATTTTATAGCGGAAAGATGCCCGTATATCGTTGAACTTTTACAATCTTTGTAGTAGTACATATGTGGTACAATTTTAAACCTGTCACGTGACAAACAGCTGATGTAAGCGATGTCACTTTGGCCGAACTCAGCAGAGACCCGATATATACAAATGCAATCACCACAATTCACATTTATCAAAACAACTACTGTTAAAAAAAATATTAAAATTGTATTCATTTTCCTTGAATATATAAAGGCGTATATTTCATGGGCGTCCTTAACCTAGCTGCGTAGTTATTAGTTATCATCTATAGTCAGTAAAACAGAAACAGATGTGATAGACTTTGTGATGTCTTAATTTATTTCGAGTCTTTTGTCTGTATAAACTGTTTTTAAACATCTTCTTTTCGACTGATAGATAAGTCATTTTACAAAATTATTCATATATTATCAGTCGAAAACTAGATATTTAAAAACGAGTTATATAGACAAATGGGATGCATTATTATTGGCCGCAACAGCGACTGAACTATTTGTGGTTGAGTTAGAATGTGCACATGGGGAAATGAGACGTTATTTTCTTATTGCTTCGTTGGAATAATTCCTAAGTGATAACAAATATAAAAGTTACGATTAAAAGCCTTAAAAATTTGCTTTAAACTAAGTCTAAATAGTAGTTATTATGTTTCAATTTGTTTCTCATTTCTCGTCAGATATTTATTAATCAAATGGTTTTACAGAAAGTTGTTTCATGATCTGCTCCCTAACAAGGGCGTGTGTAAGTTATAAAAAGAAAACGTATAAAGTTTCCGGATATGAATTATAGCGCCTAAAAAGTTAATAAATTGGAATAAGAGCTGAATTTTGTTTTGAATTTACACTGCAGTTGCAAGTGACACATTGATTTTTTTCTTCTGCACTTCACATACATATCTATCACAACACTGGTCGGCATTAT